GTTTTGATGTGCCGTCCAGCCAGCTGCGTAGCACGGCGGCTCATCGTCTGCCCTCCAGTGTCTGAGCTGCACAATACAGCAGCGCTGCCATCAAATACAGCACGAAGCTCCGGGAAGAGCGGACAGCCAGCTGCAGCGGCTCCGATCGAGGGAGATCCTCAATACAAGGTTTTGTTCACTTCAGTATGATTTTAATCAGAGTTCAGCACTTTTTCCTATTTTCACCTTCAAGGCAGATTTAATATTGTGACCGGAAAAGTCTCCTAATGTATATGAGTGTAAAAGAGTGCACCCAGCGGCTTTTATCTGTAGCCTGTTACAACCAAACTGACAGGATTAGCAGCTTTTATAAGCTTAACATGTGTACGAGGAATATAAAATACTGTGATAGATGTGGCACGACCAAACTTATTGCAACTTTGTGCAAAGATTTCACAGAACTCTCGTTGCTTTGAAGTGATTGCTTCAGAGACGGGACCACCTGCAACCACTCGCAGTCAGTTTCTGTCCCCAAAGCTACTGATGGAGTAAAGTTAGCAACAAGTCAGCCGTCTACAGTACATGCAGACAGAAGCAAATGGGGATTGTTGCTAAAACAGTGACAAAGTTGCCTATGGTAGTAAATCAGAGATTAACTGTAAAATGACACATGCATAAAACCATATAGGAATGAACCAAGTCCATCACAGGTGAGTTGCGCTCATCGGTGCAGGTGGACTCAAACAGGTAATCTGTCTGCAAACCTTCACCAGGCCGTCAAAGCAATCCTCCAACCAGGCGGCCTGTGCGATCACCTGTCGACTACATCACTACAATAACATTTAAAGTCATTTCTGTAACAACTTTATGTGACATCACCAAAGGGGGTGTGGCTTAGTAAGGTCAGATTTTAATAAATACTTTTTAGAGCGGGCAAGTTTTTGTTAACATATCCAAATTTTGTGATGGTGTTCAACCTCATTTTTCCTACATGAGGTTTCCATATCTGTGTACGGTATGGTTACGGTGGCCCGCCTACTATCCTCAGAAACGTAAAATGATTGGCTAGAATCCAAAGTGTATCACAGCTCAGGAAAAAAAAGCACCAAAATAAAGCACTGAAATGTGCGCTGCTTTTTGGTCTGGTTATTACCGTTTATGTCAGAACCGGATGATCTGCGTCAGTTGAAACCACTGGTTACGCTGCTCGTTAACTTTAGTGCAGAAGAACAGCACATTCAGATCTTTCATATTTCATGACTTTTGCAGTTCTCCCTAATTAGAGAGACTGAGTTTTATAACCGAAAACAGATGAACTTCAGGAGTTTAACGAGTTTTTGAAATAAAGTGTCAGAACAAAGGTGAGCGGCAACATCGGCAACACAAACACAACAAACAGCAGAAGGCAAAGAAAAAGCAGAGACGCGATCTTTGTGTTGGAAATCAGTGATGTTTATTTGCCCTGGGCTATGAGATACAACCACAAAGACACTGTGCAAAGAAAGCAAAGATTAAGTCACACTTACGGAGAGTCGGCAAGCACATATTACACAAAAATGATATATCTGCATGTGCACGGTATACTGTCAAGAGTGCATGCTACAAATAACACATAAACAATAAAATGAGGGTTTAGAACTAATTCACAAGGAACACGAACACCTGAAACAAACCGACACGTCTCATTAATCTCATAATACTGTTTTCTTTGTAGTAATTCAGGCCGTCACAACCCGTCAGACTCGGTTTGTTACACTTATTTTTCAGATTTTTATGATTTCATTTTCTATTTTTTTGCAAAACGACTGTAACATGTATTCAGACGCTACATTTAGCGCTATGACAGAATCTGGTTTCATTCCCCGAAGTGAGATGTTTCCCCGTGAACCCGCTGTCTGACACGAGCTTTCTACGTAGAAAATAACTCCAACAAAACGAGAAAATTAATGCAACAACGCTGTGATACAGAAAATGTTAAAAACATCAGAGGAAGAACACATGAACCACGTGCACCTCCCTAATCATGTGCGATTATATTTGTCTTACTAGAAGCGGTTAAAAAAGCGTCGGACATTTCTGGCTGTGTCAAGTTCATCTGTCAGCTACAGACGCACGTTTTTATCTGCCTGTGCTTTCACAATCGTGTAATCGCGTTGCTGACCATCTGCTAAGCCCCGCCCTCCTGTTACCGTTACTGCAACTGTAAAGCTTCGCCATGAGGTGAACGCATAGACACACGAGTACAGCTCTGCTCCCGCCAGCTAATCTAAAAAGTTCTTAGTGGGTATTTAAAGAGCGTTTTTATTTTGTTTGGATATTTAAGTTACAGCAGGGACATGGCGTCTCTGTACATGAGGTGATATCACAGTATTATAACATCCCAGGTATTTAGAAATATCTACAGGATGATTTTAAATACCTTGTAAGAAACAAATGTTCCCTTTTAAAAACAAAAAGCTGATGCAGAGAGTCTATATCTCAATGTGCAGGCAGGCTCTACTCATGAACAAGGTGCTGATCTTTAACTAAACGTGTGAACAGTTTGATGAAGGTGATGCAGGGACACAGCTGAGCACTTCAGAAGCTAAGAACGCCATTTGTATCTCTGCAAACTGATAACATGGCATCAGGTCTCCAGGGAGAATCAGAGGAAGCAGTTAGTCTTCTAATGTCCAAACAGTCTAAACATATCGTGAAATTTACACTACTCACTCAGTCTAACAGTCACTCAGTGTGGCTGTAACTGCTGGGCTAACAGCAAAACTGCTCTGTAAGTTGCTGTTTAGTGGTTATGTGTTGGCTTTCCCTTACAGAGCCCACATGCAACCAAATCATGCTCTTCTAAAAGTACTTTCTTCTTCAAAGTACGGACAGATTGCTTGTTTGCAGCATGCAGTAGAGCGTGTTCTGCCCTGCAGCCCTGGGAACCTAACAGTGAATCACTGTTGTAAACCGATGACGGGGCCAAACAGTAAGGGCAGTGACACGAGACTGTTCGGGGAACCCCTCACACCACACAGCTACAAAGACATCTATCAGCAGCTGCTCAGCATTTATCGACTGTTCAAACCAATGAAAACAATTCTGTTAGTTCCAAAGACTCAAAAAGCCCGCTCCTAAGGAGGTTCAAAGACATGCTGGACCAACGGTAACAGCACAACAGAGTACTTACAGACCAAAGGAAACACACGCTAATAATTGGCCCAGTGTTACAGTCTCTGTTTTCATATTTCCACAGAAAGGAGGCAGCTGTAGCTAATGAAGAGCGAGATGTAGGAGAGCAGGAGGTGGAGGACAGCAGCCGACATGCTGCTTTGGGAGAGAGCAGGAGGAAGCTTTAAGGTGGGGCTGATGGAGCAGAAAGCAGAGAACAGGCCTTGTGTGAACTGTAACGTAATGACAGAACACAAAGAGATTTGATCGTGAGGGTCTGCGTGCCTCAGTGTCAGGCTCAGAGGCTGATTAATATGTACATTTGTTTTGTGATGACTAAAATGCCCTGTCTTAGTACTATGTGATCTATATAATGTCCTGTTACTGTAGGTAAATAAGTAATCAGGTGTGTGTGAATGTTTGATGAAGCGCACAGCTGTTCCTGATGTTGCAGCAGTACGCTGTGCTACTCAGCGAGCCGGCCGCTGCTGCAGGACTGAGACTGAGCTGACATATCACATTCAGAGAGCCCTCAGTCACTGATGGTAATAACAGGGAGGATGTGCACGTGAGGAAAGATAAAGAGGCTGAAGAGATAATTGAGTTCGAGGAAGTCCCAGATAAGAGACAAAAGTGCATCTCCACAGACTGATGTGCAGCCCGAGGGAGACGCTGGATTAAAGTACAGTTAGTGGCCAGAGTTTCAGAGCAGCTGGGAAACTCAGAAGTACCTCAACGTTCACACACTCGTCGCCTCTACCAGGTCAAAGTGGCTGTGGGCTGTCTGCACCACAATGAAATCAACATCTCTCCTTTTGCTACTCGTCAAGAAAAGTTTGCCTCAATGCGAGTCCTGCGGGACTTCTCCTCCTTTAAGATGCAAGTCCTCCCTGGGGCAGGTGAAAGAACCCTAACCCACGTTGGTCCACGACAAACAGAGAAAGCCTTCATTGGCTGACACTTCTGCCCATTTCTAGACTAAACCATGAGATTTAACTGGATTGTTCTACGATGAACAGCAGAAGTGAACTTTGGGTTTCTCCACTGCATCCTTTACAGTTCTGAGAGAAAGTGTCGTAACTGTGGACTCATCTGTGACACACAGACTGTGGTCTACATGCTAACACAGACGTGAGCCCAGCTTTCAACAGTTTGAGGACTTGGACTGGACTGTGGACTTGTCCACATGAGCTACAACACGCGACACAGACTGTTCCAAACGCTGTCCAGCGAATGATTCAGTTTTCCACACGTGTCCACTCACCCCACAGAACAAGGTGACCTCAGCCTGGGCCAGTTAGCAGGTGTTAGCGTCTTTATGGAGCGCACACGCTGACAGCGTGTTTAATCTACACACCGAGGCAGATAACTATTAAATCTTTTACTTACTTTCATATTTATTTCGTACAAGCTTAAAAAAGCCTAGCTGTGATTGGACAGATGCTGCGTGTGGGAGGGGTTAAGCTAACGGTCAGTTTGTCTACATTTGGCACGGCACACGTTAAAAACAATGAATCCAAAACTTAAAAAACTGACTGCCATTTCTCCAAATTAGCTTTGATTTCACTGGTGATACATATTTTTGTTTTACTTGACTTTTTAAAAATCAGGATACTGAAGGTTTTTTTTAAAGTGCAAGCAAGCGATTACAAACAAAGCAAAAGCGCAAATAGGATGACCAATGTGTGTTTTTCTTTTTTGTACATTTTGTGTTTTGTTAAAGCACGTAGTTAAAAAATATACTACAAAATTGTCTTAAAAAGAGAAATATAAGCTGATTGGTATTGCTGTATGTTATCGATTGTAAGTAATACATTTCTAAGCTGGTGGGAGATGAGAACACACCCTACAGACACACACAGAAGACACACGGAGCAAAGTTTAAGGAACATGAACCTGAACAACAGCAATGGAAGATATTGTCCTTTGTTTCTAAGTGCTGTAAACAATATCCTCGCGCCCTTGCTTCTCCTTCGTCACTCGTCATCACTTTTGCTCTTGTCTGATTGATCCTGCAGAGACAAAGAGAAGAAGAGTGTTAAGAATGAGGAAGAGGATGCAGCGAAGCAGCAACAAGAGGCAGAGCGGCCTGTCGCAACACAACAACGTTGAAATAAGAAAGCTCTCCGGAGGAATAAGAGGTGGGACGGGCGGTCTTCACATCTTTTCCTGTTCTGAGGCTAACGAGGAGAGCAGTGAAGGAGTGAGGCGAGTCAGACAAGGCGGTCCTTTGAACAGACTCCGTCAGGGCAGAGCGTGCTCCCACCACGGCCGGCACACAGCTGATGAAATCGCTGCATTCATATTCACGGAGTAACGTGAAGGCTCCGAGCTCAGCCAGCATAAGACACTCAAACACTCAGCATCATAAATACAAACACTGATGCAACACCTGGACAAAGGTAAGCTGCTCACTTACGCTGAAAAATACACTAAGACGGTCCTTCTCAAATAGGACATTTCAGAATCAAATGGTTCAAAAAATGTTTATAGTTTGAAGAAGGATGTTTTTATATTTCAGGCAAATCGATGCACTTTGTCTGTAGTAGTTTAGAGAGTCGCAGTACTACTACATGTACTTAAATCCTTTCTGTTACAGACTAAACAACATTGTTAGTCTTTGTTTTAAGTTGATCTATATTTCTTTCTTTTTTGCTTTCTTTAATGTTAATAAGGATACAATGTTATGCAGAAATGTACTTATAATAACAATTTTATAGACAAATGATACTATTTATAGAGACAGGGGAGAGTGGGCGGGGCGTGAAATGTTTTCTTCTTCCTCAGGGGGGCGTAACAGAAAATGATGGAGAAGCACTGCACTGAGGCATGTATAATATGAAGGTGGTGCAAACGCTGACATGTAATCACGTTAAAACCCAACGTTGTTGCTCTTAAGCTGGATTGAAAACAGTCGTGCAGATCCAGTGAGACAGATTTAAAGGCTTTCATGATGTTTGTAATAAAAAGCTGCATTTTTATTCACTAAAACTTGGTCAGATTTCCTGCGACACTCGTCTGTTCTCTGAAGCTGTTCACATAAAATCAGCATTCCTCAGCCAACTCTTACTGACTGTAAGTGAACGTGGAGCCACAAGTAATGAATAATGCAGAGTCCCTTATACTGCATTTCAACTGGCTGCTGACGGAAACGTTCCTCGGATCCTACAGAGCGACCCGTGAACTTCCTTTATGTCGGGTTGAGACCACACAATATCAGCCTAATGATGTCCATGATTAAAAAATAAAAATGTCAAATAATTGTTGTGAAGGAAGAATCAACTTGTTAGATGAAACGCGCCTGACTCAGTGACGACTGTCGTGTGAGACCAGGAAAACACAGCTCGCCTAGTTCCAGCATCAGTAACATTTTGGCTGTAGTTTGGTGACTTTATCGCGGCTCAAGAGTTGGGAGTTCGTCTTGTAACCAGAAGGTCGCCGGTTCGAGCCCCGGCTCGGACAGTCTCGGTCGTTGTGTCCTTGGGCAAGACACTTTACCCTACTTGCCTACTGGTGTTGGCCAGAGGGGCCGATGGCGCGATATGGCAGCCTCGCCTCTGTCAGTCTGCCCCAGGGCAGCTGTGGCTACACCTGTAGCTGCCTCCACCAGTGTGTGAATGTGAGAGTGAATGAATAGTGGCATTGTAAAGCGCTTTGAGGGCCCTGAAAAGCGCTATATAAATGCAATCCATTATTATTTCATTATTTATGGAAAAAGATAGATGAAAATAAAATAAACTTCTGACCAGGGTAAGTCAATCAGGTTTAGCTGGCAGCAGTGAGGTGCCAGGGCCACCCCTCGGCCTCCCAGTAGATGCACCCATGGTATAAAAGTTGACCTCTGACCTTGAAGTCAAGGTCACTGGGATTCAAACTCATTCAAGATTTTTAGTACGTTCACCTACGGTATCAACTGAAAGTCCTACATCACCTCGTTCTCACAGTATCGCACAATAAATGGAGAATATAAACGTGCGGTTTCTACATGCACCTTCACAAACATGCTCCGTAAACCATGTTTAAGAAATATTTAGGACTCATTTACATCCTTCTGATGGTCCTTTGGGTCTTTAGATGTGCGATTTGGCTTTTAAATGAGCGGCAAACGCCACATCAACGCAGATAAAAGACGTGATAGCTGACGAGGAATTAAAGGGTGCTTCACGGAGCTTTGTGACTGTCGGTATATGAGACCAAAGCCAGGGAAGCTCACTCTATAAGAGTAAACAGTGAATTTGGAAGATGGTCTTCAAAGACTTTGAGTGTGATTGCATCAGACGATTTACAAAGAAGTTAAAATCTTCAAAATCTCATCCCACGAGATCAATGAAGCTTTTCCCTGTGTGAGTGGCTGAAGCTGCCTGTATGTGCTACGTCTTATTCCTGCTGCTGTACCGAGCTAACACCGAGCTAACTTCAGGAGAAACTTCTATAGTTTGTAACCACAGAACAGCGTTTATGTGGCCTCATCGTGGTTTTATTCCCGCATAGAACAGACAAAGGAGCAGAAAGAAAGAGGAGAGGGGAGGATACAAGGTGTATTTGATAGTGGGCACAGACGTGGTGCCTGCACAGCTTTAACTTCACATTACTGAGTGAAGCGGAGGCTGAACAGCAGAAGGCGGATAGTACCGGGAAATATAGCGAACTGAACGTCATTATCTACATAAGCTTTAACATGTGCTCATTTGGTTTCACATAAGTACACTACAAGTTTTATCCTTTTATTCTACAGAAGATTTAATGCCAGCCAACAGCTGCTGATGGACCTGAACCACCTGTGTCGGCAACATAAGTACAATTATTTTACAACCTACATTATCATCCTGGTCCTCGTCGCTGTCGTCGTCGCTGACCACCGGCTTGGCCTTCCCTCGGCTCTGCCTCTTCTTGCCTTTGTCGTGGCTGCGTGCCTCCCTGCTCAGCTTGATCTTTACCCGCACTGACTTGGCTGAAACACGGGAGAAACGTGAACAGTCTTGCACCGCTTAACTTCAGCATGTTTGAGAATAAAAGCTACGACATCCTGTTTAGCCAAACATATTAGAAACGAAACTATTTGTTGAACGTTTAGCTGACATGGTAGATTTTTATGCTGGAGGCCGTTCCTAATGCAGGGCTGTCAGGGATTTGTGTTGATACTCAATCTCTCAGGTGTCATTACTGCACATCAGCTGTAGTTCGTGGTTTTAAATGCTTTTTAACATTTCACAATAAATGTCCTCCCTTAATAATGACTCACTCCTATGTCTAAAACATCACTTTCGTCTGTCAGCAGCAGTGCACGGGGCTCCCGCTGCGATGAATATAAAGCCCGAGCAGCGTTCGCCGGGTTTGCACTGAGAAGAATTTCAATGAGACAAGAAAAGGTCTCTGGTGTGTGTGTGTTGGTACGCGTAGCCACAAAGTGCGTCTTACCCTCGGCCTCTGAGTCATCGTCGTCGTCGTCGTCCTCCTCCTCCTCACTGTCGTCATCGCTGTCATCGTCCTTGGCGATCTTCTGTCTGGCGCTCTTGAAAACAGACTGAAGAACGATGGAGTCCTCGTATATCTGCGGGGGGGTGTACAGTTCATTTTAGGCTAGCTCAGTGCTAATAACTATAACACCATGTGTTTGCAAACGAGCTCGAGTCCGACAGAACAGGAGCCGATCAAAGCAACGCCGAGCTCCGTCTAGCCAAGATTCTCAGGGGAAAGCCCGTCACCGACCAAACAGCTGGCCCCGCCTACACACAATCATTCTAACCATATATAAATATATAAAGCTATTCTAGAGAAGTCCCGGAGTACCAACAAAGCCCCGGAGATGAGCAGGAAAATGAAGAGAGTTCCACAGCAGGGTTTCTGACCTGGGATCCCTCCAAGTTGAAGGTCTGTGCGTTTTGACAGAGCAGCATCACGTCCTTCTCCAGGTCCCCCACGTTCCTGTATTTATGGTTTCTCACACGTTCCTGTTGAAAGACAAAAACAGAACAGCGGCACTGAGCGACGCCTACATCCACACAGGTCGCACAACCTACACCGACATCAAGCTTCACCGTCTGCCCTTCCTTTCAAATCCATCATGACACGAAGCTCCACGGACGGTGAATTTATCGGACTATTCGAGTAACAGAGAAAAGAGCTGATTGTTAAATACCAAAAACTGTTGGAACTAAATTAAAACTAATAGATTACCACAAACAGAAACTTCTTTGATCTTTTAAATACATTTGAGGAGTTTCTCATCTTACTGAGTATTCTCTTCTATTAAAGGACCTGGAGTTATAATTTTCAGCCCTTTCTTTCCCACTAACCCATCCCTCCTTTGCACAAATGAATGGATCATCTTAGATCACAAACCTTGATTTTTTTGAAGTCCACAGGTTTTCGGATCAGTTCGTAATATTCTGGGAGTTCCTTCCTGGATGGAAGCTGGACAAACACTTCACTGAGTTGCCTTCCAGAGCTGGAAAAACAAAAACAGCAGTTTGTATGCCGTCAAACTCTACTGCACACTAACACTGCCGGTGCTTTCTATCACAGACCAACAGTCATCACAGCGCTGCAACAAAAAGCCTCGTGGGACGGATGCTGCGGTCAGACTGCTGTAGTGTTTCTAATAAAACGAGACCAACTGGGTGTAAATGTTACTTTAGGTCTCATTTAAGGACACCATTAATATTTTAAGATCCACATCACTGTGGGAGTTATTGCTTTCTGTTTCAGGCCCCTCTCCTCTGCAGCAGCTCCCAGCTTGGACACTTTAAACGTTGATGAAGCACAAAGTTAAACCTGGATCAGGTGACCCTCAGTTACACTGACACAGGTTCAGACATTTCTTCACGCCTCTCCTCTTTTAAACATGCATGTTTATTTTTCACTACAGCATTTGTCATTTCTCTCACATTTCTCTTTGTTTTTATCTCTCTATGGCAGGGTGGGGAGGCCTCGAGGGCCGGTGTCCTGCAGGTTTTAGATCTCACCCTCACACCTGAATCACACGATTAGTTCGTTACCAGGCCTCTGGAGAGCTTAAAGACATTTAAATCAGCTGTGTTGGATCAGGGACACATCTAAAACCTGCAGACACCGGCCCTCGAGGCCTGGAGTTGCCCACCCCTGATCTATTGTCTCCTTCTTGACCCTACAACTGGTCACGGCAGATGGCTGACCATACCTGAGCCACCTGGAGGTTTCTTCCAGATAAAGGAGAGTTTTTGCTTCCCACTATCGCCAAGTGCTGCTCACATTAAATCATCTAATTGTATCGACGTCTCTCTTATACTGTGGGGTCTTTTTACCTTTAGCTGAGGGTCCAGCACATGGAGAAGTGAGATATAACATTTTGTCAGACTGAACAGCAAACTTAGCACACGCAGAAGGAAAAAGGAGAACTAATAATGACTTTAACGAAGGGAGAAGTTAATTACTGTGATTTACGCTGATCACAATCATCAGCATCAGTGTCTGCAGACATCGGTCTCTGTGGGAGCGTCACTCCTGTCAGAGAGGTTCATATTCTACTACACATGATTGATAAAGTGACTACTGCAAAAAGAATTACCAAAGACTTTTATTCTCCTGAACACAGAAACATTACTTCCCATCAGAAAGGTTTTGGCTTTCCCCCAAAGCAAAACCACCAGAGCTGGAACAAAATTCATTTTAAAGCAGTTAGATTAGAAGTCGGGCTTCAGATGCTAAAATATTACTTTATCAAATGGCCAGAAATAACAAGTGTTTGGGTCAGTTTAAAGTTAGCAAAGCAAAGAACAGTTGGAAGGATCTCAGAGTGCCAAGAATCAGAAAGAAGTGAAGTTGGAGATCAGGAGGGAAAAACGAAGCAAGCGCAGAGCTGTGACAGGTTAGCTCCTGAAACCATCTGACGTACGAGCTGTTTTCACAGATACCCCGAGTACAGAGGCCCTCTCTGAACACAGAAAGTAAAATGCCAGCAGTAATCAAACTTCACTCAAAGTATCCGGTAGTATTTTACACCCTGATATACCCACTTATTTTCCTGCTAGATGATATTTAAGGCTATAATTATGAACTAGATCTGTTGAGTCTTCTGAAGCGATATCCAACACACAGCTGCAGCAGTGAGCCTGCGGTAACGGTGTGCACGAAGACCGACGGCGGCGTCTTTACCTGCAGTTTCTCCAGAGTTTGTGAAAATAGAAAAGAGAGATAAGGAGGATGAGGAGAACCCAGCTTGCTCCTGTCACTAAGATCAACTCATCTGCATTTGTAAGAAAGCACACACGCCATTTTTCTCTCAAATGTCCGATATCATCTGTTAGATTCTGCCAGCACTGACTTCCCTTCTTTTTGTGTACAGAGACTTGGCAGAAACACTAACATTTCAACATGTGGGATTATTTTTAAGGATCTCCTTGTGGCTTCATCAATCATTTTATACCAGGCCAGCTCTTAATCAGAAGGAAAAATACTGAAATCTCAAATCTGCAGTCATTAATTTAGGAGTTCAAGGGGAAGAAATACAAGCAACTAAGAGATGACGTTCCACAGCATCAATCATCGGACAGCGTTTCCACTGTTCTCGCTCAGCTGCCTGAATCCAAAGGGCTCACAATTAACATTTAAACACTTTGGATTAACTTGAGCTGTCCGGTGTGTGACATCAGGAAAATAAATGGATAACTTTATTTCGACAAAGCAGCCAAAAACAGTCACAATAACGCAAGCAGCAGAACAGCTGAGCTTCAAGGCTCCTGAATGTGGCAGCTCGGTGCGTCAGACTGTGCTGCGTGAACTGAAACCACAGGGATGGACGGAGGGTTCAGGACGGGTTTAATATCTTTGATGTATGACGCCTGTCAAGCCCAGCAACAAAGACTTTAGGAAACACACTCAACTGCTGACTCCCATAAAGAGCTGGGGTTGGAGTGGAAATGTGACGGTGAAGCTTCTTGATGGAAAAACTATTGATTTAGAAACCAATTGTTCTGTGCGTGACACATCATACTTGGAAACCACAGGTGTTGCCAAACAAGCCTTAACCTGCTTCCTGGATGCTGCTGCTGCCTCCACTGAGGAGATAAGCATTTATTACATTTCAGCAACAGCTTGAACTCCGCCCGCATTTGCTTTAAGCAATGCGGAGTCACACTTTGTTTTATTAGGAAACATCACTGTAACCCAGGGATCCAAAGTCCTGCACTGGAAATTTCAAATTCTGCCCCAGTCAAGTGTGGAGAGAGCAGCGCCAGAGTCGTGATTGAGATGCTCTGGGAAGAACAACCATCAACAGGGAGAGGAAAGAATTCGACTTCTGGAACGGCAGGTAGCAGTTTCCTGGAAAAGCTTCAGCCGAGCAGTGAGCCAGTGCACTTCAGAGCAACGTGAACACAAATGCATATGTTCTGTCATGCATGGGTGGATGTCACAGGGAGATGCATGCTCGTGACTCTGCATGTGGGCAAAAGAGAAAGTATCCAGACACAACAAATCAGACGCACACTTATTTTCTTTGGCTTGTTGGGAAGAACCAATGCGAGGTTCCCGTTTCTCAGACATTACCTCACGTCTGCTCATTTTCACCGTGCCGACCAGTGAGAAGGCTGTACTTTCCAGTGGATAGTCACGCCACTATTTGCTACACTCTCGCAAACGGGGCCACCTTTTTGCATGCAAACGTAAATTTTACTGTAACCACGACAAGTTAACCTTCTCAGGTCAGTTCATGTACTGAGGGTGACGCTCCTCAAGCACCGAGCTCCTCGTTAGCTAGATTTTTAACACATGCTGAATCAGCTCTTCCTCTGGTTGGTTTCCCCACCATCCCTGCTGCCTTTATGAGGGACTTGGTTTGGATATCGATGACCACGGCATGATCTGTTGGCCAATCTATCGATTTAAGTTTGACAGCAGCAGCTCGCTCGCTTGCAAACAAAAGACAACAACAAAAACAAAACCTTAATATGTGTTGATAAAAGAACTTAAAGGAACACTTTCCTCTGCTACAAATCAGGTGTTAGTCCCAGTCACCCCAAGACTGGAGGGTCCTCCTCCTATATTTGCTATGTAAGTAATTTTATTCCTTCCTCGGAGTCCCCACAGGATAAGCCCACTGCTCCACTCCTATAAGCATTTGTACCTTTCAGACAGCCAAATGTAATCTGGCACGCATTCTTGTGTTTCTTTGCAGCTCCGGAGCTAAATGAATTATGCTGCACAGCTCTGAAGAAATAAATATATGCATAAGAAGGTTGTCTAGTGTTTCAGAAGGCCCGCTCTGAATGGAGAGAGTACAACTGTAATTAAAGTTTTAACAGCTTTAATGCTGCTGGTGTGACATGAAAAATAAGGCAGTGCTTTATTTAAAGTCCTCTCATTTGGTAAGAACCTATTTGGACCTTCCTCTATAACCACAGGGCTTTTAGCTAATGTTCTACTCAACTTTATAACGTGTTCGCTTCCATATGTTATATGCTATGGAAATAACACTGAACACGGAGTTACTAGAGTGTCTAATCAGATCAGCTATTATATACATCATCCAGCCAATTATTAGACTCGTTTCATTCATCCCAAAAGGCCTGTTTGATGTGAAACACCTGTTTGATGTGAATCACCTGTTTGATGTGAAACACCTGTTTGATGTGAAACACCTGTTTGATGCTATTTTTCCTGAATGGTCGTACAATGGAAAGATGAATTGCTGGTATATTAACTGTATGATACGTTATCTCAAACATGCAGCAAGTCTCTGGATGATCTCACCCGTCTCTGTAGTTGATCACTGTATCAATGATGGTGTTCATTTGCTTGGTGAGTTTGGGCGGGTTGGGGGACAGCTTCTCTGCTGGCGGTCGTCCACGTCTCTTCTTGGCCTTCGCGCCTCCGTCCTCTCTGCCGGAGTCCTTGTCCTGACGTCTTTTGCGTTTGCGCTTTTTCAGCCGGATCTCCTCCTCCATCTCCTCCAGGTTTCCATCTTCAATCGCCTAAAACGTGAAAAGAGCCACAGCGGAGCTGAGGTCAATCCTACAGCAAGTATCTCAACAATCAAAAACAATTCTCGTTGCAAAGATTCAGAGATTATCAGTGGTGCATGCTGTTACACTGTAGGACCAACAGTGTTTTCACATTGGGCAGGATGCACTGTGCTCTGAAACCCAGTATCTTTAATGTTTAACGATGATCTGTTGTGACTAGGGCTGCCACGATTAGTCGACTAGTCACGATTACGTCGACTATCAAAATCGTCGACGACTGATT